TTATATGTTCTCATAAGTGGGGTCAAAAAAAGGCTGGAAGGGTATGAGGTGAATGAAGAGAGGTGGGTTAAAGAGTATAAACATACAATTAGATAAAAGGTCTAAGCTCTAACTTTCCATAGCAGCATTGGGCCACCATAGTTAGCAACAATGCATTGTATATTTCAGTGCAGCTAGGAGAGGACTTGAAATTGTTCCAACACAGAGAAATGATAAATACTCCAGGTGTATTTATTACTCAAGATGTATACTCCAAATACCCTGGTTTGATCATTACATAGTCTATTCATATTCTCTTCCTAATAAAATACCACACTTACCCCATAAATACTGTGTATCAATGTTTAAAAAGGCAAATTAAAAAAAAATCACCTAGAGGATTATTAAATGAAACACAACATCATGCCCCCTCCAGAGTTTTGTTTTGGCTTTTTTTTTTTTTTTGGAGATAGAGTCTCACTCTGTTGCCTGGGCTAGAGTGCCATGGCATCAGCCCAGCTCACAGTAACCTCAAGCTCCTTGGCTCAAGCGATCCTCCTACCTCAGCCTCCCAAGTAGCTGAGACTACAGGGACGTGCCATGATGCCTGGCTAATTTTTCTATTTTTAGTACAGATGTGGTCTTGCTCTTGCTCAGGTTGGTCTGAAACACCTGACCTCAAGAGATCCTCCTGCCTTGGCCTCCTAGAGTGTTAGGTTTACAGGCATGAGCCACCGTGCCTGGTCTAAAACTTGTATTTCTAACACACTCGGCAGCAATGCTGTTGCTGGTGACCTGAGGAACATAGTTTGGAACCCACAGCTCTCTACTATGCTACTTCCCAAAGGTCTGCTTGCTCTTATTCTGCATGTAAATGTAGGACTCACAGTTTGAAAAACAGAAGGCAGGGGAGGGAGATGACTGGCTGTCTATGTGATATATTCTCTTAACTTGAAACATGCATGTTACTTGAATGTGCAATTTGAGGGAGGAAACACCATACAAACTGTTACCATATTCCCAAAGGAGACAGCTGATTCTCTTGAAGGATTCACAACAGCGAATGTGAATCTAGTACTGAGTCAGTTCTGACAGTCTGCACACAGCAGAGACAACCGAAACCCCCATAGGGACGTAACCCATGGGAAAGAATTCACACATATTAACCACCATGTCTAGCTACAAATCCACATTAAGCAGCCAGATATATTAAAAGATTAAACAGAGGGAACTAGAAGAACAAGAAAGCCAAGGAAAGCTCCTATTTTTGCAAACAAACAAGGCCTTAGCAACTAGTGATAAAGAAGAAATTTGCCAGAAAGGGAATGAGCAAAGATTCCAATGATCTAACTTTTTTTGGAGACAGAGTCTCCTGCTGTGCCCCGGGCTAGGGTGCAATGGCATCAGCCTAGCTCACAGCAAGCTCAAACTCCTGGGCTCAAGTGATCCTGCTGCCTCAGCCTCCCAAGTGGCTGGGACTACAGGTAGCTTCCACCACATCCTGCACATTCCTTATCAAAGAGTAAGGCAGTCTCACCTTAGTGGCACATTTTTTCTTTCTAGGGGATCTAATCTATTTCTGCAGCTTCAACTAAAGGCTCCCAAGAAGGGTGGGGTTGCTGGCCCCAAGGAGGCACATTAGAAATCTTTGAAGAAGTTTTTATTGTTACCACAATTGGACGCACTCCAGTCCTTTGTTGGGCAGGGCCTAGGGATGCCAGGTCCCACAGAGTCTGGGGCAGTCCCAAAGAACTAACTGTCCCTGAGTCCAAGAGAATAAAACCTACATGTAAGTATCTGTGCCTAGGCCCCAACACTGTTTTACAAACAAAAAGGGATTTTTGGAGGGGTGGCGCCTGTGGCTCAGTGAGTAGGGCGCCGGCCCCATATACTGAGGGTGGCGGGTTCAAACCTGGCCCCGGCCAAACTGCAACAAAAAATAGTTGGGCATTGTGGTGGGTGCCTGTGGTCCCAGCTACTTGGGAGGCTGAGGCAAGAGAGTCACCTAAGCCCAGGAGTTGGAGGTTGCTGTGAGCTGTGTGATGACATGGCACTCTACCGAGGGAAATAATATTCTGTCTCTACAGAAAAAAAAAAAAAAAAGGATTTTTGGAATGGTTGTAATGTACAGATTTCCTAAGAATGCAACTACTGCGAAAATGGAAAGGAAACAGTACTTTTCTTCACTACTTGAGGAAATTTCATGGCATTTACTTTGCCAACACACGCTTGTGTCTGTCTGCATGTTGGGCTGTGACATTGATAGTCATTTAACTTCTGGTGCGACTGTTTGACTTTATGTCTTCTCGTATATCAGGCTGAACATTTACATCTGTAGTCTATTTTGCTTAAATTACTTTCATTTTATTTTTCTTTCATAAAGATATTTGGGGGCCATCTTGAGTTTTGAAATCAATAATCTACCTAGGCAGATTTTTGTTATACAAACAGAGCATTAGGTCCAATGGGCTGGCTTAAACCAACAGCACTAATGCTCAGGAGGGTATAGCCTAGAATGTAGCTGTACCCGATGAACTAACCCAGTTATTGTCTCTAGGGCAGAGGGCCTGGAGCACTTTTTCCAGAGGGTTCTTTTCTTTCTGTTGGGCTGTGCTAAGATTCTGGTGGGGTCCTGGGTAAACAGACTGTTCATTTACAATTCAGAACCTTTCACCATCTGACCTCATCTGTGCCCTGTCTACCTGTCCCTTCTACCTGCACACAGTAGGTCTCAATAAATGCTTTTAGAATTTGACTGATGACTTCAAATATAGAAGAAAGTAATAGCACAGGTACTGTAGTGGCTGGTGCATGTGTTTTCAGAAGTCCAGGCTTGTTTAAATCCATAACAAGTTCTATCCATCAAAAAAATGTTCTACTCACCAGTCCCGACTTAGAGAAATGTGGAAGCTATCAGAGAGAATTGATCAGTTTATAAAATATTTGTGGCCTTGTTGGTCTATGGGAACAAAATACAATCAATAGCATTATTAGAAAGAACCAAAAGATTATAAAACAGATATATAGGTCTGGGATTAAAAATATTTTAAAAGGATATTCTTGACACATGAACATCTCGAGAAAGATAGATCTTTTCTTATTCATCTTTGTAGCTCCCTTTGCGTATCTCGATACTGTGTCCCACTGCAGGTATTCAATTTTGTTGTGGATTGAATGATGTGTGCGGGGGAGTCACATTTTATAGCTTTGTATTGAGTAATATAGAGAAAAAATTATTTTACCCTGTTTGGGGTCTTGCAGTAAAAGCCTTTAATAGGTCCAGAGAAATTATACTTGTGCACTGACCAGAAGTATTTGCAAAGCTATGACTAAATGAAGTGCAGCTGGGCGTACATAGAACTCCAATGCCCATCCCCAGGGCAAAGACCACTCTGAACTTAGCCAGTCCTTGTCATCATCGAATAATGTCTAACACCACAGGGACACTAATGTTAGAATCTGCCAGGTATTCCAAAGGACTTGTGAAGTGTATTTTGGTACCAATAGGGAGGAGTGCTTTCACGCAGATGAAAAGCATCTTTAATTTTTCTCATCAATCAGAGGAAGATGGGTCGATGGGATATTTCTGGATCTATAAACTATCAGAGGAGACATTATTTTCCAGAAGCTTTTTTTTCAAACAGAGCCTCAAGCTGTCGCCCTGGGTAGAGTGCCGTTGCATCACAGCTCATAGCAACCTCCAATTCCTGGGCTCAAGCGATTCTCCTGCCTCCGCCTCCCAAGTAGCTGGGAGACTAAAGAGCCTTTTTTCATTGTGAACTTTCACCTTCTCCACCTGGAGATTTAACAGGGAACACAAATAGTGATGCCTCTTCCTCATTGTAAAACATGAAAGATAATAAGATACTTATGTTGGCCAATAGGAAATTAGCCTGCAGTGACACTTTGGTTTGCAGATGTACACTGAAGTATAGTTACATAGCTCAATGTCTCAGCTTGCCTGTAAATTAATTTTTTTTTCTTTTTTGAGATAAGCCTCACTTTGTCCTTGGGGCTCGAGTGTAGTAGCCCAATCATGGTTCACAGAAAGCTCAAACTCTTAGGCTCAAGTGATCCCCCTGGTTCAGCCTCCTCAGTAGCTGGGACTACAGGTGTGGGCCACCACACCCACCTGAGTTTTAAACTTTTTGTGGAGGTGGAGATCTTGCTGTGTTGCTCAGACTGGTCTCAAATTTCTGGCCTTAAGCAAGCCTTCTAACTCAGCCTCCTAAGGTGCTAGAATTATCGTCACAGCGCCTGGCTTAACTTTTCATAAAAAAAAAAAAAAAAAGATCATGACAAAACAGTATCCTTTTCAAAGGAGACCAGAACATTTTATCTCTAATAGGCTTTGGTCAGAAAACACATGCTATATATATTAGGGGAATTTTCCCACACTAATTTTTTAGGATTAAATCAGACATTGGAAGAATTGAGAAAAGTATATGAATAGATCCTGCTTGTTGTTGATGACATTATTAGATCATTAAAATTTCCTTTCTCTTTAGAAGCTCAAATTTCAGACCTTGCAATATTCTAGGAGAGTTTGAGCACTTTATTCATTACGTTACAGAAAACTACTTGGAAAGAAATAGCTCCTTCAAGTCTTTCTGCCAGGATTTCATATATTCCAAGAAGAACTTGCCCTTCTCAATGCTGTAGTATTGGGGTTTTTTTTTTTTCATTTTTAAAAATCAAGTTTTATTTTAATTTCTAAGGCTATACTTTTAATTTTCTAGAAGTAACATTTTTAAAGAAATTGTTAATTCTTTAAGCACATAAATCCAATAAAAGAGGGTTTTTAGGGTATTTTATCACTGAGGTGTTGCTTTAGGACAAAGTGTGGTCCTTTCTCTGAGAGAACATACTCCATGGTATGTGGATTAGCGGCTCTACAGCTGCTATAAAGAACAGATACAGTTGCCATTTGGATGTATGTGAGAAACGGGGCTTCTCCTTGAATTAGAAAATCCCCCCAGGCTTCTTTGGTTAAACTCTCTAAATGCCTGAAATATACTTACATTCTGGAAATCATTAACTTCAATTGCTTCTTCAGCTCCACTTCCCATTTTAAAGGTCTCTAAGTTGTTCCCAGCATCTATTTCCATTGACCCATCTTGTAATTTCCCATTGATACTCATGGTGTAATGGACATTGTAAATCTGGAAATGAATAGAAGAGTTAGTGATGCTTTCTCTTTTGAACAATCAGGGCTTATCTTTAGACCTGCAGTGTACGAGGTAGCTTCCCTATTTCTCAGAGACACATGGGATCATCTTTAATAGTAATAGATTTATATATGAGCACTTCCTTCATACAACAATCATTTAATACAATGATTTCTTTAAGGCCAGGTGTGGTGGCTTATGCCTATAATCTTAGCACTCTGGGAGGCTGAGGTGGGTGGATTGTCTGAGCTCATGGGTTCCAGACCAGCCTGAGCAAGAGTCTGAAGTTGCTGTGAGCTATAACACCAGGGCACTCTACTGAGGGCAATAAAGTGAGACTCTCAAAACAAACAAACAAACAAAAACCAAACAACAAAACAATGTTTTCTTTAAAAACACCTTAAAAGTAAAACCTTTGATAGTCTCTGATACTTATTCAAATAGCTCAACGATTTGCAATCCTGGCTGGACATTAGAAGGACTTAGGTAGACTCTCAGGGTACTATGCTTGGGTTTTACCCTAGACTGATTAAACCAGAACCTGTGGGGATGGTGCTTGGACGTAGGTCTTTCTTTCTAAAGCTCAATTCTATTATACATCCAAGTTGAGAACCATGGCTGGATAAAGAAAATTGAGGAGGCTCCCAGCTGAACAAGTGTGCAGTGGTGGCACCTCAACTTTGACAAGTTTTTTAATCCTTTGGTCAAGATCAGATGTGGAGTGTGGCCTATAGTAACGTCTGCAGACAGCGCTAGGAAACACTTGAGAAAGAGCAGACCTGCAGAGAGCAAGATCAATGTGCACATCTGTTCCAGCTCAGAATGGTAGTTACTTTCTTAACGACTTTATGGGACAGGCATATGGTGCTGGAGGGCATTTTGTTAGAATGAGACACGTGGGGTGTGGGAGAGGGGAGGGGACCTAGTACTGCAGAAAACCACTGGTCCGGGAATCAGAAAAACAGGTAGCTGCACCACTTCCCCATGGGCCTTGGAGCTGCTGCGAATGTAAAATGAAGAAGTTGGACCTCACAGGTGGTTTTCACCTGTGTCCTTAGAGCCCTGGGGTATCACAGGTATGGCCTAGCAGTGAGGGTAGGACGGGGAGGTTCCTTTCTTCTCTACCTGCCCCCAGTCTAAGCAGGGCAGCTCTTTGCTTTTTCTTTGCTTGATACCTTGAATTTCTGAATAACATTTTGTTAGAAAGAAAAATTCCAACACTTGAAAAATATTTTTAAGTTTGCCACTAATTAGCTGATTTAAAGGACTCTCTTAGCTTAGACATCTGATTACCGCATTGGTTTAAAAATAATTCCCATGCTGCTCAAGCTCCATGTGCTGCTGTCCTGTCAGACCTTTCCCTGTGTGGAAGGGCAAGGAGATGGGTTTCTCTTCTTTCTTCTCTTTTTCAGACTTAGAGGCATATCTGTATCTGCATATCTGACATATATGTCTTCTATATACGATGTAAATTATATATGCATATGCACAGACACATATATACATACAAGTGCATATAAATCTTCCAAGGGGAAGGGATAAGAACAGATGAAAGATAGCTGCTACTTAAGGTTAGGTCAGCCAGTCAAAACTGCACACAGCTCAGATTCAATGCCACTCTGATTTTTCTTCCTCATTATGAAGAGTGATTGCTACATGGACAAACACTGGAAAAAGTATCTGTTGTTAGTGGATCATTACTTGTAGAAAACTCATTACTATAGGACTGAAAGACCATTATTTTATCAGCAGTGACAGAGAAATGGCTTTGCTATCCAGCACCCTTTTGGGCGACAGCCTTGGTTCAGAGGGACAGTAAACGCAGGCATCCTCTTTCAGCTTAAACATCTCTCGATGCCCCTCTTTCCCTCCTTCCTTCTGAGGAACTTAGAGGCCTGCAGTCTGCTCTCCCCCAAGCCCACCTGATCCTAAGAACCACATCTAGCGGTTCTGGCTCAGTGGAGCTGGAGCAAAACCCACCAATCTGTTTTCACTCTGCTCCTCAGGTCCTTATGATCATCCAGGTTTAAGAAACCTGTTTTCTCTGGTTGGCCCAGTACTCTCTTCAGGTTTAAAAAGCAGGCTCTGTTCTGTCCGGGGGTGGGGCTCTCTGAGCAGCCACTATGCATATGGGTGAGTGATGACTGTCAAAAGAAGCCTGGCAGACAACATAAGCTTTCAAAAAAAAAAAAAAAAAAGCAACAGGTAAGACTTAACCATTTGCAAATTCTTAGAAGTTCGTAAGGAGAGAGGATTGTAACACTAGAAGAATGGCCTGTGCGCCTAATTTCTCTTTCTTCCACGCCATCCTTGCTACCTCCCCTACCAACAAGCTCCCTAACTAGAGGTTGCATCCTTGGCAGCGTGGCTTCTTCAGCCCACCTTTTATATGTACTTCCCTCTGCACGGAGCAGCAGTGAGAAGCCTGTGCCCTCTTGAAGAGATGGGGGCGGGTAGGACACAGCCCACAGTATTCACGGTACCGGCTCTGAGCTGGACAGGGGGCTGGGCTGCTGGAGCAGCAATTCCATTATCTATTCTAAGTCCAATGGAGCTGTTGGCACCCAAGGCTATTTCAATCCAAGCACAATGAAGTTTAGTATTTGCCAAAATTCTGCTCAATATGGTGCCTTTTACAGCCAAGGATATTTGCTAATGAGTTTTTAATAAGGTTTAGGTTCCATAAGATTAATTATATAATGTTTGGGAAAATGTCTAGAAAAATTAGTCTGAGAAGAAAGGCCCTAAGCAACGATCTCCTTCCTTCATCCCCTAGGGTGGGTATAGTCATTTGTCTCACAAGGATAGAAATTTCTCATACTTCAATGCCTTGTTCCATTTACAATAATGTGGAAGAAAAATGGCCACAATACTTGAGCCCAGGCAATGGTCCCCTGATTATTAGCACTCTGGTGCTTCCTAGTACTCCAACTAAATTTGAGAATACCTGTCCTAAGAGGATTTGCCCGGATGAAAGGGATAGGAGGTAAAGCACAGCTGGTTATCCTTTATTAACTAATATGGAAGAGCCAAGTCACAGATAATCCCCAAAGAGCAGATAATCCATTTGGTTTGACAGGTCTTTCTGTTTGACAGAGACGTGCCTTTTTGATTACGTTTTGTTGGGCTGTTTAGATTTGTATTCAAGGAAAGCAGACCTGTGCATGTGCTATGCACGGATGGTGCCAAATGTACTGTTTTGTGATTTGTTTTTCAGACGTAAGTAATATGGATCAGAGCAGAACATTTTGGGGGGAAAAAATCGTGATTCTCTTCATTCTCCTGTCTGTATAGAAAACAGCAATAACTTTGATTGTCGGCAATAAAATGTGATTCACTATTTCTCTGAACTCTCAAAATTTAATACTGATCGCTTGAACCAGAGAAGCAACCATCTTGTGGTAAAGTAAAAGATATGAAAAAAGAGAGCCCTGCTTACTCAATATGATTGTTCAATCTCCCTTTTTAGAAGCTTGTCAGTTAGCTGTGTTTGCCTTGGATAATTAAATGCCAAATGGTATTCATTTTAATATATATCATAACCAGAATCCTTACCCCGCCCCCCTCCAAAAGCAAAGCTATCCTCAAATGGCCTATACCACTAAGGTTTTGTTATCTAAAAGATAGCATTTACATTCTAATACCGTAAAATTTCCCACAGGGATGACAATCTAAATCCTGCTATTAATGGAGATGTAGATATTGAAATCATTTCCATGTTCAGATCTGCTGCTTTCAAATGTGAGCATCTGGCTCAGCTTCTATATTTAAAATACAAATACATTAAGGCACTTTTCAAATACACACAAAATACAGTGCAATTCTGATCTTTTAAATCGATGCTTGTAAATTTGATATAGTCTCTAAAACAGACTCAATGCTAAACGGCATGCTTATCTACATTAAGCATTTGAGTTAAAAATACAAATTATGCAGTGACTGCAGAAGACGTGATGTGTAAAATGGTTGAATTGCTTTCAGCACCATTTTCTGTAAGTACTGGAAGTCGTTCATGCTTTGAATTTCATGGTGGGAGACAGGAGAGAAAAAGCAGTCACTGATCCTCTGAGGATAGTGATTATGAAAGAGCTCTTTGTGTGTGACCTGGAGATGGAATTCTTTTCCATTAGTCGAAATAAGCTTATACTAGACCTGGCAATGGTCATCAAGATAAAATGCCCCCTTTTACTTAGGTGAACACATTCAGAGTATTTAGAGAACACACTGGAACTCTGCCCAGTCAAGTTAGAGGGAGTTTTTATACTCCTTGAGAGCCCATGGAGCTCTGTAACAAATAGTTGCATACAGAGAAAGTAGGACAGCAGCTAGTGAAAGATTTACCATTAAATTACACGTGAAGAGTAGGCCAGAATTGATTGTTGGAGAGATTTGCCACCTTTAAGGAAGTGAGACCTTTGTTTGGTTGTTTGTTTTTAGAGGGAGAAAGGAATGTTAATGCATAGGTAACAAAAACCTACCTCCCGACTCTCAATTGCGAGTGTGAGTATTTACTATCTTTGTCCTAGACAGGCTATCTCAGCTGGGAGAAGGCTTAGTGATCATTCAGCTCCATTTCTTCAGGGACGAGTAAACCAAGGTCAGAGATGTGCCCCCAAAGTCACACAAGTGCCTAGTGTAAGCGCTGGGCGGAGACCAGCCAAGACGGGTTTCCTCCAGCTGCTAGCCGCATTCTCCACCGTCGTGCTCTCCGATCTTAAAACCCTGACCTGCTTTTCCACAAAGTTGCCCATGAACAGGAGGCAGCATAGCAGAGGCGGATGGAAGCAGGGACAAGGTCCCCCGAGGGGCCCCGTGGGGAGCGCGAGCTGAGCGCCGGCCGAGTTGCCCCCTGCGGACCAGCGCTCTGCCTCCCCCTAGGGGACGTTGTGGGGGTAACACAGGACCCCGCAGCCCGGCGCACCCGCGGGCCTGCGCCCCTCCCGCCCTGCAGCCCTCCCGACTTACGTGATTGTCGCTCCCCTTCCAGAAGTAGAAGGCCCCGATGGCCCCGAAGAGCAGCAGCACCGCCCCGGAGATGAGGACCACGGCTCCCACTTTGAGCAGCCGCGCGGGGCTGGCAGGCTTCACCGTGACCGTGGCGTACGCCTGCGGGCCAGGGCGGCAGAGGGGCTCGTCACGTCTACGCCTCCCACACCGCGCGTCCCGGCGCCCCCTCCGACCCAGCGTAGCGCCCGCAGGGAAGAGGGTACGGTGCGGTGGGAAACAGCTCTCCCTGGGCTCCTTTGGGTGTCCTTTTTGCTGCGGTCCTTCCCTAGGGTCCTTTGCGGTCCAGGTGTGGACCGGCCATGAGAAACTTTTCTTTGTGTGGGGCCATTGCGGATCTGCACCTTCCACCAGCCCAGGTGTCCCCTCCACACCTGTCTATGGATGTCATGCCCCTAGAACATCCACGCGCCAAGGGCACCTCCACACCCTCATAGTTGGGACCAAATTTGACCCCCCCCAAACACACACATTCGGTGGCACAAATCTTTGACTTGATACAGCGGAAGCAGGCACGTGCAGCCCGGGCTCCGCGTGGGACTCACCCGCCAGCGGGGCCGGAATCGTGGGGGCCGTACTCACCGGAGGACTGCAAAATTCAACGTCTTCGGGACCCACCAGGGCAATGGGCACTTTGTCCGAGTTCTCCGTCATGGCTGCGGCGGGAGGAGAGAGGCTTTCAGACACTCCACGCGCGTCCTGTGCTCTGTCCCGCTGCCCCGACGTGCCTGGCACTTCAACGCAGCGTGTACACACGGTGCACGGTCCCGCCTGGGCCGGGCCTGCGGTCTCCACCCCTTCCAGTGCCTCACCCCTCTCCTCCTCCCGCCCCGGACGGCGGTCTGAGCTGTCTTACTTTCCGGGACGCCCCCTTTCCCCACTCTCTCCTGTCTACGGGATCCCAAACAACACCGCGGTAAATCTGTGTAAGGGTGGTCTCAGCCCTCAGACCAGGAGGCTGACTTCTAGGACCCCAAGATATACTAAATGTCAGGGCAATTAGCCATCGATCCTAGGATCTCTTAGAATGTCAGAGGGCTCTGCAGTGACACTAGGCTGGAGGCGTTTCCTGCATGGTCGTTGTGTGCCTGTGTTGGAGCGAGGGCGCCGAGAAGAGCCTGGTGGGACAGGTGGATGGGGACTCTGACCTATGAGTGCCAGGGTTAGGCCACCTTTACATTGGCCTGACATCGCTCGATGGCCTGGAGCAGGGTCTTGGATATGGTCCCTTGCTGGCAATTTCTGGGGGTGGGTGGGTGGGAAGTGGGTTCAAGGGCAACAAAAGTGAAAGCTAAACAGAGAGGGGCTGGAGGAAAGGCGCTGGGGACACCAGAATAAACGTGCATTCTGGTTGGTTAAGTTAAATAAGCAAAACCCAGCAATGGCAAAGCACACACATGCCCCAAACGCTGATGTAGCCAAAGGAATAATACATACATATATACGTGTATGGATATATGTATTTTTCTCTTTCAGAATGACACCTGCGAGGTCAGGGATGACAGGGCACCTGCTTTGGACCCAAGCTCCCTTAGTTTGTACTGGGCCCTCTGCGGGGGAGCGTGGGGCTGGCGCTGGTGCTGGGAGGTACTGAGGCTTCTGCAGACCACAGAGGGAGTTTTCGAGGCAGGACTGCAGTGGAGAATTTGTTGAAAAATCAAATGGTGGAAGCCAAGGTTATGATGGGGTGCTGATGAGAGCCTGGAGGAGGTGACAAGCATCATGACCTGGGGCTGGGAAAGATGAGATCAGGGGAGGATGGATTTCCACTGGAGAACTGGTAGAACTTGGCAATCCCTGGGCCTGGAGAGGCTGAGATTTCGGGCCTAGGGGCGTTGGGAGAGAGTAGGAGCCCAGTAGAAGTGAGGAAGGTGAAAGGAGCAATTTTTAGACATGTTAAGCTTGATGTGAGGATTTTTAAGAAGGCCAGTGGACACATCCTGGACCTGCCTTCACTCAGCTGTGGTGGTGATACTTGTCTGCGCATCCCAGGTGCTTGGAAAACCTCCAGCAAGAGTTCCCGGGACACTGCTGAGGCAAGAGTTCAAAGACTTCTTTTCCCAAGGGCATTTGTCACAGGAGTTTCAGTGAAAGAACAGGAGAAGTAAGAGTCAGAGAGGTGGGAGATGATCCAAGATAAAGCAGCACGTGTAATTTAAAAAGGAGAATTCAAGAAGGAAAGGTGGGCAACCTCAAATGCTGAAATAAAGAAGCACAGAGAAGGGCCTTTGGATTTCACAATTAAAGAGAGTTTGGGAGCCAGTAAAACAGTAGTTCCATTTGCTTTATTGGGCACAGAGGACATTGCCCAATGGGTTAAGGA